CTCGGCGCCCAAGCCCGCTGCTGCGGCCGCCCCCGCTGCGCCCAAGGCCCCTGCTGCCGCTGCTGGCAGCTCCGCCGACTACACCGACGTCCCCGTCTCGAACATGCGCCGCGTGATTGCATCGCGCCTGACCGAGTCCAAGTCGACGGTGCCGCACTACTACGTCAGCATCGACGTCGAGATGGACAAGGTGCTCAAGCTGCGCGAGGTGTTCAACAAGGCTGCCTCTGACAAGGCGGGCAAGGACGTCGAGAAGGCCAAGGCGGCCAAGCTGAGCGTGGGCGACTTTATCACCAAGGCGGCGGCCGTCGCGCTCAAGGAGGTGCCCGAGGTCAACTCGGCGTGGTACGGCGACTTTATCCGCCAGCACCACAAGGCCGACATCAGCATCGCCGTCTCGACGCCCACGGGCCTGATTACGCCGATTGTCAAGGACGTTGGCGGCTCGGGCCTGGCCACGATTTCGGCGGCGACCAAGACGCTGGCGTCCAAGGCGCGCGCCGGCAAGCTGGCGCCCGAGGAGTACCAGGGCGGGTCGTTCACCATTTCCAACATGGGCATGTTTGGCATCACGCACTTTACCGCCATCATCAACCCGCCGCAGAGCTGCATCCTGGCCATTGGCGGCACCGAGGCGCGGTTGGTGCCCGACGAGGAGAGCGAGGCCGGCTTCCGCAAGGCCATGGTCATGCAGGCCACCATCTCGGCCGACCACCGCACCGTCGACGGCGCCACGGCCGCCCGGTGGATGAAGGCGTTCAAGGACGCCCTCGAGAACCCGCTCAGCTTTATGCTCTGAGCGGCTCCAAAAAGCCTGTCTTGGTGCTCTTGCCGGCGCGGACCTGTGCAGATCGACGCTGCCTGCCGACCAGCCACGAGGCTGGCTCGCCCGCTCGCCGCCTGGCCGACAACGAGGCCGACTACTGCCGTGTCCGGACCGGGCACTCTGTGTACATTTCGAGATTGGTTCCCGACTTTGTTGACGAGGGGCTGCGCCCTTGGCCTTGCCCTTTTCCTCGTGCCGTGCCAGGCCGGGCGCGAGGGAGAAACAGTGTTGCTTTACCCTGCTCTTTGCTCACGACCTGCGTCGCCTTTCCTTGCCCGACCCTTATTCGGCCTGGCTGCAGTGACAGACGCGCTGCCCCCGACCATGGTCGCCGAGTTGCCGGCTGGTGCTTTACCAAACGTTGCAAGCGGGAGGGATGCGTATCGGCCGCAAGCCTCTCTCTGTAGCTGTCACCCAGTCCCGTGAGGGCCTCGATCTGTGACCGAAGGCGAGGCGATGCAGCATCTATCGGCTGCGGTCCCGAATGCGGAGGCATGGTGAATAATCAGCGCTGGCTCACACGAATCTGGGCTGCAATGCGACATTGCATGCCATGCCAGGCCGGGATGGAGGAGACAGGTGAGCCATGGCATCATGGTCGGTGTCGTCGATCCGAGGCCAAAGGGGGCGCGCCTTCTTCGTCGGCTCTCGACTCAAAGTGGAGGTTTACCAAGGGCGCGCCTCTGTCGTCGTTGTTCTCGCCATCATCATCATCGACCTCAGCGTCACCATACTCCTCTGCCCGGCGGTACGAAGCTCTTGACGTCGACGCTGGCATGGCCTCGTTTTTTTTTACCTAAGATGTGACTACTCCTTGGCCGGCTCTCGATATCGTCAACATCCACCCCCAGCATCCACCGCGTCGAGCGCAGGCTCACACACCGGAACCCGTCGTGTAAAGTGCTGGCTGCCTGGCCTGCCTGCTGGCCTCGCTGACCCTGCCCCTCAAGCCCTGACCCTCGACCCGCAACCGCGAGCGCGACCTCGACCGCGACATGACCATGGTCGGCCTAGCCTGGCACTGTCCGATGCCGCTTCCGTCTTGTGACACCATCGTGCGCGACCTGCCACGCCTGTCCTCACAGAACCGCTCGTCAGCCCACGCGATACGTGTGTACATACATGCCTCCCAGCCCTCCCCGAGCGACATATAAACATCACCCCGCCTCCCCTTGCAATCGAAGGTGATCGCCCCATTCCCACCTTCGCACATCTGACCGCTCTCGAGACGAGCTCATATCCATCGCTTCCCGCTACAGACCCATCTCTTACCCGCACCATCCTCGTCCGCTAGCCGCGACTCACCATGCCGTCGTCTGACAAGTACACCGATCCCAAGGTTAGTCGCTCGCTCCGTTGCTCCGTCGCTCGCCGCAGCGTGCAGGCATCATGGCCCTTTTGCTGACCTTCCGGACCCTCTTCGTCCCTGCAACCGAGCAGCTCAGGGATGAGATCAAGGAGGAGATCCAGGAATCTGACAAGGGCGGTCAGCCCGGTCAGTGGAGCGCGCGCAAGGCCCAGGTGTGTATCCTCGGCCTGTCCCACCTCCTCGAGGTCAAGCGAAAGCCGCTGCGCGCCTTACCCCGGAACGGATCCTGACGCCTTGGCTCCTTTCCCATCCACCCGCGTCCCACTGACATTGGGCGCCGTCGACGACCGCGGCAGATGATGGCGTCCGAGTACAAGAAGCGCGGCGGCGGGTACACGACCGACAAGTCGGAGCAGGACTCGTCGCAGAAGAACCTGGAAAAGTGGGGCGACGAAGAGTGGCAGACAAAGGACGGCGAGGGCAAGGCCAAGCAGGACGACGGCACCGAGAAGCGCTACCTGCCCAAGAAGGCGTGGGAGCAGATGAGCGAGCAGGAAAAGCAGGAGACCGACGACAAGAAGCAGAGGGAGAGCAAGCAGGGCAAGCAGTTTGTCGGCAACACCGACAAGGCCAAGGATGAGCGCAGGAAGGTCAGCGAGGGGCAGAAGGACCAGGACGGCCAGGAAGACGACGAGGAGCAGGGCAAAGGTGCCCCAAAGGACGGCGCGCAGAGCCAGGGAGGCAAGGGAGCCGGCGCACAGGCGCACAAGGGCAAGGCCGCCAACGGTGGCAAGCAGCAGAAGAAGCAGCAGAGCGACGGCGCCGACGGCGACGACGACGACGACGACGACGACGAGCAGCCTCACGAGGATGTCGAGGAGATGCAAGAGGGCGACAACGACGAGTACCAGCCCGAAGACGATGGCGCCGACGAGGCGGGAGACGACCAGGACGACGAGCAGGGCGATGACCAAGGTGGCAAGCAGGCCCAGAAGCAGGGCGGCAAGAAAGGCGGCCAGTCCAGCGCCAAAGAGTCGAGCGGCAACGGCGGCAACAATAACGGTGCTGCCGCGTCGCCGCGCCGCTCGCAGCGAAAGCGTTCCGCCTCGGGCGGCGACGGCGGCTCCGGCGACACGGGCGAAAAGGAGGGTGACGAGCAAGACGAAGGCGACGACGAGAAGGGGAGCAACAAGAAGGCCAAGACGACCCACGGCTCCAAGCACGACAGCACCGACCCGCCCAACGACCGCAAGCCGGCGTCGGCCTCTCGCCTGCCGAAAAAGGGCCAGGAGGTGACGTGGAAGGCCATGCCCGGCTGGGTCACGGGCATCGTCCAAGAGATTCTGACGTCGTCGAAAAAGGTCGAGGGCAAGGACGTCAAGGCGTCCAAGGACGACCCGCGCATCAGCCTCAAGAGCAACGGCCCCAGCGGCAAGACGGCCATCCACAAGCCCGCCGCCGTCTACTTCTGAGGCCGCACTCGCGCCGCTTACCTTTCAACCCCCTCCCGCCCCCCTTCTGCTTTCGCCCTCCTCGAGTCAGGCCCATGACTGTTGTTCGGATTGCCCCGTCCCCCCCGTCTCGTTACTCGTCCGCCCCTCTAATCTCGTCACGGCACATGTATACACTAGACCGCCACCGGCGCTGTACTCTCGCAAGCAAGCAAGGATGCGTTTCGCCTTCAGAGCCGAGACCCGATTCGGATCGGCCCGCAGCACACCGAAGGACCCCCAGCTCTTGGTGAGGGCATCGACGAGCTTCTAGGCATGGTCCGCCAAGGGGTCGGACTCGAGTGCCAAGGACGAGATGCCGACAAGCGCTTCTTCGACGGACGAACGGACGATTGCCGGCTGGACACAGCATTGAGTCGCCGCATAGGTCGCCGGGTCGACGCGCCGAAGGCGGCGCTCTGTGCCGTCCTCCGCTGCGACGATGCCGAGGAGGCGCTCGAGCCTCGCAGCCACCGGGTCCTCGAAGTAGCCCAGCAGCCGGAAGGTGTCGTGCGTCAGGCCGGTGAGGAGGCAGGCGTGGCGACCGCCCGCCTGGCTGTCCCACAAGACGGGCTCGTGCCTCTTGATGCCGCGAAAGTTGAAGAAGATCCACAGGTGCTCCTTGTGCTCCACGTCCCCTTCCTGGGTCAGGATTCCGGGCGCTTGGTAGCTGTGCCATCCCCTTGGCTTCCCCGAGGCTGCCTGTGACGCAGGCGGCTTCGACTGAGTTGGACCGGCTTCCCGCAGTTGCTGACGGCCTGCACTGGCATCGTCTGCAGGCTCCAGAGCGAGGTCGTTGTCGAACGCGGCTGTGCCTGGTTCAGGTGCCATCGACGCCATCGAAAACGACGCACGGTTCTTGATCTGGACGAAGATGTACGTCATCGCTGAGGGCTCGAACAGGTCTTTTGACCAGTCGTGCGCAACGCCGTCCGACTGGGCCGCCGCCACGCCGTCCGACTGGGCCGCCGCCGTGTCGGCACCAGGCGGCGTGTAGACTGGGATCAGGATGTCCCAGTCGCTCTGGTTGCTGACCCCGAGCCAGGCGCACTGTCGGAGCCAGCCGTCGACGAGCAGCTCTTGCGGAATCGGCGAGCCGCGGGCGGTCTGCTTGCCAAGGCGCGCATAGTGAGTGAAGTTGATGTAGGCCGACTTCATCCATGCGCTGGACGTGGCATTGGGCTGCCGACTTTGTCCCTCCTCCCGAGGCGAGGGAGTGCTCCGATCTGACTGCGACAGAGGTCCGCAGAGCGTGTTCAGCCACGAGTGAACCGGCATCGGATCAAGGATGGCTCCGCGATCCGTGCTGTTCTCGAGGGCGAAAAGCTCCTGGGAAGCGGCCAACCTCTCGCGGTCGATGGTCCCCTGCACTTGTCCTTTGTGTTTGTGGGTGGCCTTCAGTCTAGGGCAGATTTCAAACGAGGCGGTCAAGTCGGCAGCGATGCTAAGGAGCATTCGCGCGACTTCTTCGCCATCCTCGCCAAAGTGCACATGCCTCGATGACAGGCGACGCTGAAGTTCCGAGATGCAGTCAGCCCACCGAGGCGCCGGGTTCATGCGCATGAGCAAGGCGGCGGCGGCGCTGCAGACGGGCTCCGACGGCGTGAACGTGATCGCCATGTCACCATTGACGCCCACGCGGGCCACCATCCTCAGGTGGCGGGCAACCATGTCGTCGGAAAGAGTGCGAGGGTCCGTGTTGCCCTGGATGCCGATGATTGTCAGAGGCAGCCTCTGCGACAACACGGCGATGACTTGCTGAGCTGCTTGTTGCTCATCCTCCGGCAACAAGGGCCATTCGACGCCGGAGCAAAGGATCTTGCATGCGACCGCCCACAGAGAAGCGCCGCCGAACTTCGGTCCTTGGGCCTGGGCGAGCACTTGGTCCTCCCACAAAGGCCGGCCGTAAAGCAGGGCGAGTCGCTCCAGCTCGAAGCGTGAGGCACCGCGCAGCCTCGAGATGGTTCCGCGGGCGTCGGGTCCCGAAGATGTCCATTTGCTGTCGATCGGTGTGTTGACAAAAGGGCTGACTAGTCGGACGTTTTGCGTCAAGAACCGTTCCGAAGCGTCGGTGGCATCGCGACCAGCTATGTTGGCGACTGTCGAGTGCGTGTCGATCAGGAGGATCCACTGGCGTTTGGGGTCGAGATGAGACCAGAAGCGACGCACAATGGCCAGACGAACGACACCGAGCGCCTGACACTCGTCGATGGCGAGGAAAAAGAGCGGCTGGGCGAGCTGTGCCTCTTTCAGCGTAGGAAGGGCAGCCTCGAGGGATCCGGTAGGGTCGGCCCTCTTTTTGAAGTACCTGGCTAGACTTGAGGCAAAGAACTCGGCGTTGCTTTTCAGCGTGCTCTTTTGTCGCTCTTTGTCCCAGTAATCCCCTTTTTTCCATGCGTCGCCATCGTCCAGGTCCTCGCGCAGGGCCGGGTCCTCGAGCTCGACGTCAGAGAGGAAACTGCCGTACTTGACCATGGCCTTGGCCTGTCGCACCAGGCGCGAAATGAAAGTGTGACGAGCGCTGCCGGAATATTCTGCGTCATATCTTGCCTTCTCGATGCCGTCGTGCATCTCTCGAAAGGCTGGCGCGACGAATCGCGACTGCCACTCCTCTTTGGCCATGCCATCGGACGGCGGGAACGCCGCAGAGGTCTTGGAGCGGACGACTCTTGAAACCTCGAAGGCGACGGCGGCAAGGAAGCATGCTATGTTGCGCGTGGCCTCGAACGGCTCGACCTCGTTTTTGATCTTCTGTGTCTTGCCGGGGTCCTCGCCCGCCGTCAAAAACGTGCGCACCTCTTGATCCGCGGGTGGTGCCGAGACGCCCGATGGTGCGCCCGTATCTTGATTCCTGACGCAGAGCAACAGGCCCAGCGTCGTCTTGGCCGTCTCGTAGACCAGCCGAGTCTTGCCAAAACCCGATGACTGCAAGACTGCCGTGACCTTTGCGTAGTGGAGCTTGGGTCGGAAATCGCGCTCCCAGGTGGCGAGGTGGTGTTCGAGGTGCTGTGGACCGAGGCCCAAGTAGGGGCGCGAGACAAAGTCGTCCGCCACCCCGCGATCGGCCGAGCGTACGAAGTCGAGCGAGTAGGATTCGGAACGGAGCTTGCCCTTGACTAGGATGTACTGGATGCATTCGTGAGAGCGAGAGCCCGGGTGGGTGGCCTTGAAGGCCTCGGCGAGGTGGAAGAGCTTTTCAGGCGATTGCGTCCTCCGAGGCTTGTGGGGTTCGAGGTCCCTTTCAAAGAGATCGAGAATCCAGTCCGGCACGCCTGGTTTGGTGATCTTGGTGGCAAGGACGGCGTGGCAGTCGCTGATGAGTGATTCGAACTTTCGCTGGGGAAAGCTGTGATCGTCGCCAGCTAGCCAGCGCTCGAGTCGCAACAGGCCCTGGCGGAGGTCGCCGGCGAGGAGGGAGTCGTCCGGGCAGCAAAGCCATTTGTCTAGGTCGGTGGCGCGCCGCTCCGAGGTGGGCGACAAGCGGCCCGACGTGGCGATTGCATTCATGATGTATGTATTTGCAACGGGCTGCTGGCGGGTTGCGAAGTCCCGGGGAAGCTGGGGCTCCATGCACGGATGTTGTCGACTAATCCGTCATCGTCGAGGATGCCGCAGCGTGCCCGCGTGTGATGTGGCCAGAAAGACGGTCAGTGAGTAGTGCTTGGCTGGTCGTGGATCGGATGGAAGGGGGAAGCGATATGATGGCTTTGAGCCCAATGCACAGGGCGACAACGCTGCCTCGACCCCCCCACGCAGCCCACCCGCACGCGACAGGGTCCCCCGGGATCAGCTTCCTTGCAGACGTAGTTACGTCGCGCCATCAGATTCTTCCATCCTACCGGTACGTGCCTCTATCGGGGATTCTTCTTGTCAACCACCAGCTCCATCGCCCACCCACGATTAAAGTCGAAGCGCCCTTACCCGCTCCGCATCCCCGCCTACATGTTCCCAGTCTCTGCGCCCGACGAGCTCCGGAAGATGAACGGCCACGGCACCACGTCCCTGCCCAACGGCGGCCGACCTTGGGGCGATCCCGTCAAGCACCGAGATCCCAAGCTGCCCCTGCTCGAGTCGTCGTGGCTGCGCAAGGTCGTCTTCCTGGGCACGGGCACCTCGGGACAGGTGCCGGCGATCCACTGCGTCACCTCGCCCGACTTTGGCGGCTGCGCCACCTGCGCCGACGCCGTCAGACCGGGCAGCCGCAACCACCGCGGCTGCACCAGCGTCGCCCTCGTCGGCCGCCACTCGCACGACGACGACGACGGCAGCACCATCCTCATCGACTGCGGCAAGACGTTCTACTCTAGTGCCCTCGTCCACTTTCCCCGCAACGGCATCCGCAGGCTAAAGGCCGTCCTCCTCACCCACGCCCACGCCGACGCCATCCTCGGCCTCGACGACCTCCGAGCATGGACCATGGGCTCAGTGGTACAGCCTTTCGTCGACATCTACCTCACAGAGCAGTGCATGCAGACCGTGCAGGGCATGTTCCCTTACCTCGTCGACCGGTCAAAGAGCACGGGTGAGTCGACGTCGACCGCCGGGCGCCACCGAGGAATCGCCGCGCTGCTTCTGGCAACCTGACCCGCTCCGTTGTTCCCTTTGAAACGCAGGCGGAGGCGACGTCGGGACGCTGCGGTGGCACATCATCGACCCGGATCGACCGTTCTGGGTCGGGACGGGACGCAGCAAGGTCGAGATCCAGCCCCTGCCCGTCCTGCACGGCTTCGTCAATCGCAAAGACCCCTTCTGGACGCTCGGTTTCAGGATAGACGGATTCAGCTATGTCAGCGATACTGTGAGTGCCCGGTGCACTCGGCCCGCTCCGTACACGGACCATCTCCAGCAGTCTTTCTGACGCTCCCTCCGTGCTCCCGCTCGACTGCGCAGCACTCGATCCCGGAGACGACGACGCAGATCATGGCCGGGTCCGAGGTCATCGTGATGGACGCCCTCAAGATGGATCGCCACTCGAGCCACTTTTCGTTCTCGCAGGCGCTCAGTTTCCTCGCCTCGCTACCGCCGCCCCCGTCCTCGACCGCCGACGGTGGCACGGCATCGTCTCCGCCGAGATCCAACGCACGCCTGCCGAAGCTGGGCATCCTGACCGATTTCACGCACCGCATCGAGCATTTCGCCACGCAGGAGCTCCTCGACGCATGGAGGAGAGGCCTCATGGACTGGCAGGTGCAACAGGCTCCGGCGCCGTCTGAGCGAGCAGGCAAAGGAGAGGCGGGCGGACCGAGGTGGTGGGATGGTGTCTGGGACGAGGCGGACTGCGAGCGCCGGCTGACCATCGCGCTCAAGGGGGAGGCCGATAAGCTGTCACGCGACACGCACGGCAGCGGCGACGGCGACGGCGATGGCGCAGCAGACCGCGAGGCGGCGTGGCGGGCAGCACCCCACTGGATCCCGCCGGTGGCCATGTCGTGGGACGGTATGGTCATCGAGTTCCAGCAGACGAGGAAAGAACCATAGACGCTGGCAGACCCCGGTGCTCTGGTGCTTCTGACGATGGCGTGCTGAAGGGGATGGAGAGACAGCTCAGCCTTGACCTCGGTCTCGCGCCTGGACCACACACGTTCCGAGCAACCGGGGAGGCAGGGCAAACGTGGCCCTCGGGGGGGACCCCTTTGGCCGCTGCAGCCATCTTCTGCCCGGCATCCGATAATTGTCCGTCCCCCTTCTGGATTGAGTCTTCACTCAACCTCCTCCCCTCACGATTTTGCATGCTTCGGCGCTGCGTCTCCACGCTTAGACCACCTCCTCCAACGACCCTACATCTACATAGATCCCTCTGCCTCCTCGGTCCTGGAAGACCAACGAGACGTTCCCCGCTCCATCTTCCCCCTCGTCCCGTCACCGATACACCGCGCCTCTTACGGATCCGACCCAGGATGGCCAGCAACGGACAGGTACCGCAGCTGACCGGGTGGACCGGCTCGCCCATCCTCGTCGGAGTGATTGGCGGCTCGGGACTGTACAAGCTGGACAACATCCAGGTCGTCGCCGAGGTCTCTGTCTCCACCGTGAGTCGAGTCGGCCCGGCCCTTCTGCTCTTCTCCGGCATCATCGGCCCGTGCAATTGCGATTGCCTCGCCAAGGCGTGTCCCTCAACCTTCCCTCTCCGCGCGAAATGGCGTCGCACTGACACCTCGCCATTCCACTTGCCCCCCTCCCCCTTGTCCCCTGACAACAACCGACGACAGCCCTGGGGTGCGCCGTCGTCGCCCGTCACGATCGCCGCGCTGCCGTCGGGCGTGCACGTCGCCTTCCTCGCCCGGCACGGACGCACGCACAGCATCACGCCGAGCGCCGTGCCGGCGCTGGCCAACATTGCGGCGCTCAAGCACCTCGGCGTGCGCGCCATCCTCGCCTTTTCGGCCGTCGGCTCGCTGCGCGAAGAGATCCGGCCCAAGGACTTTGTCATCCCGTCGCAGATCATCGACCGCACAAAGGGCGTGCGGCGCGCCACGTTCTTTGGCGAGGGAAACGAGACGGGCGTCGTGGCGCACGCTGGCTTCGGCGACCCGTTTAGCGAGGAGCTGAGGGGTACCGTCGAGGACATGTGAGTCGGTCTGCTGCCGGGTTTCAACAGCGACCACGAGGCCGACGAGGGCGAGAGCACCTCTGCGGCTCGACGCTGACACCCTCCGCCAAACCCTCTCCCCGCCATTCTTCTCATGCGGCTTGCACCGCGCAGCGTCCGCGAGACGCTGAGCCAGACCAACCCCTCGGTGCAGGTGCACGGCAACAAGACGGTCGTGTGCATGGAGGGCCCGCAGTTCTCTACGCGCGCCGAGTCCCTCATGTACCGCGCCTGGGGCGGCGACATCATCAACATGTCGGTGCTGCCCGAGTCCAAGCTGGCGCGCGAGGCCGAGATCGCCTACGTCCTCATCGCCACCGCGACCGACTACGACGCCTGGCGCCCCGCCTCGGCCGCCGTCAACGTCGCCGAGGTCCTCGAGAGCCTCAAGGCCAACGTCGCCGCGTCCCAGCACGTCACCCTCGCCCTCCTCGACCGCATCAACGCCCTCGTCTGCGACGACTCCAGCCCCGCCGTCGCCAACATCAAGGATTCCATGAGGATGGCCATCATGACCCGCCCCGAGTTCATCCCCGACATCGCAAAGGAGAACCTTCGCTTCCTCCACCCTTGGTTCGCTCGCGAGTAGGTGGCCAGCGGGGCGGCACCCGCCCGCTCGGCCCTGTGCTGTGTCTAGATAGATTGGCCGGTGCATCGACGTCACTGCTTGCTGCATGTACGTTACGTCGCAGGCGTCGCTGCGCTGGCGTCGGGTATCTTATCGTTAGATCGTGCCGCTCAAAAGTGAAGGAGATAGAAAGAGAGAAGCGTCCTTGCCGCCTGTCCGTGGTCCGGGTCCGGGGTCCTCTTGAGAGATACGCACGCCGCCCTGATGGTCGTCGCCTGCCACCTACTTGACCTTGGACTTGATCCTCAACGACCCCTCGGGCACCTCCTCGACGCTCTCAAGGCCCAGGCTGAGGCTGGCGCCGATGGAGCTGCGCCGCGCCGCCAAGGCACTCGCCGCCGAAGGCACGACGCCCTCCTTGCTGTCGGCGCTCGAGGAGCGCGAATGCAGCATCAGCGCTGGAGGCGCCTCGAGGTCAGCCGGCATCCGTTCGGTACGCGCCGCCTGGATGGCGGCCATCTGCGAAGGGCTGAGGTTGCGCTTCGGCACCGGCACCGCCGACACCGACATACTTTCGACAGCTGCGCCGCTGCCGGCCTTGCGGAAGACATGCCGCGGTTTGGTCGGCGTCGCCATCGGGCTGTTGGCTCCCGTGAGGCTCGAGAGCGGAGGCAGCGGCATCATCGGCTCCTGCAACGGCGGCGACGGCGAGACAGGCGAGATCTTTGCGGCACCACCGTTGGGTGCGGTCGAGACTGCTGCGGCCGAGACTGCTGCGGCCGAGACTGCTGTGGCCGGATCGTAAGAGTAGTCCCAGGCGCGCGGCACCAGCGCCAGCGGCATCAGCCACGTTGCCGCCACGCACACGCCGTGGCCGCGGTCCTGCTCCTTGATGGCCTTGAACTCGACATCCATGTACACGCTGATGTATCGGATGAAGGGCTGGAGCTCTGGCACGCCGCCGCTGACGGCCATCGTCTGCAGAAAAGACAAAAAGGCGCCAGAGACCGAGTGGGCGGTCTCGAGGTAATTCATCGTGGGCTTTGGAAGCGTGAGCTCGAAGCCCCACCAGTGGACGAAGATCGCCATTCGATCCAGCGGCGGTCGCACCGCGTCCATGTCAGTCGTTGCGCGGATCGCTGCGCCCGAGGCGTCGGCCAGTGCGCCAAACGCTCCCGACATCTGGCCCGTCGTGCCGATGAACGCGGCCGTGGGCGAGAGGAGCATCTGCACTGGTGTCGATCCCAGCAGCGTGCGCCCGCCCTCGAGCACGGGCAGCAGTGGCGACGACTTGCTACGGGCCATGTCGCGTGGTCGTTCTTCAATCGAAGCTGCGGCGAAGGCGACTTCGCCATCGTCCTGAGCATCGCTGCGATCCTCGGCGGTCGCAGACGTCGGCCGCGAACCAGCAACGGCGCCAGCTGCGACGGCCGCGATGCCCAGGGCAGCTGCCCCGCCGACCAGGGCCTCCCTGCCAGCGGTACGACCACGACCGTCGTCTTGCCCGAGCTCCTGAAGCTTCTGACGGTCGGCGTGCCTCCGATGGGCCTCGTGCTCGCCGCAGTCGAGGCAGACGACCTTACGGGGGCGCGTGCCGGGAGCGGCGGCGGCGGAAACTGGCTCCTTGCGAACCGTGGGCAAAGTGGCATCGAGCGACGACGCAGCGGGTACTGCGTCAGCCACGGCAGCCTCTGCCGCCAACGACGAGGTCCTCTGCTGCACCGCAGGTCCGAGCCCGGGGCCGGATGGCTCGGATGCAGTGTCCTGCTTCGAGTACTGCCCTTCCAGCTTGCGGAGCGCCTCTTCAGCTGCCGACGCCTTGATCGCGGCGACAACATCTTGATCGGGACCTGGCGGCGTCGACTCTTCCGAGGCGACACAGAGGATGCGATCTTTGCCGTGGCTGCCGTCGTGGCCAGTGTCGATGGCGCCAGCGCCCAGGTGGCTCAAGGAATCGGTTCGCTCGGGGATCTGCATATGGCGCAGCTCTCCGATGATGTGGTTGGCCAGTTCCATGTCCATCAAGGCCTTTTTGAGCTCCCTCAGCTGCGCCTGACTTGCCACCGGGACGGTCCGCGGCTTGCTTGCGGCGTCCCTCCTCGCCTTGGTGGGTCGGTTAGCCTCATCGACACGCGGACCGACCGAGTCGACGGCATCGATCGGATAGAGGCCCATGCCAGCGTTGATGACCTGTTCAAGAAGTTTGGCATGCCTAGCCGCGATGGCCTGCTTCTTGGTCACCTTGACCTTGGCAGGCTTAGCCTTGCCCTTGCCGCGGACGCCATGGAGACGGATGCCGGCCCGATCGAGCGAGAAGCGGCGATGCTGAGGTGGACGAGCCAGGCCGAGGTCATTGTCGGCCTCCTTGGTCGCGCGGCTGACGTCGGCGTCGGGGTCGCTGCGGACCGACTCGCGGCTGGTGATCCTGCTGATGTCGAGCAGGTTCCCCGTCGAAAACGACTTGAGGCCGCGCAGACGGCCGGCGTTGTTCCTCTTGCGGTTCAGCTTTTCCTCTTTCTTCCTGCGCTTGATCTCGGCCTTGCGCTCCTCTTCTAGCTTTTGTTCCTCCTCCCGCGCCAGGACGGCAAGAGCCTGCTCGCGTGCCTCGGCGGCCTCGTCGGTTGAGGGGCTGAAGCTGACGCGATGGGCCGAGACGGACCGGTTAGCAGCCCGGCTGGGCGAGTTGGGGCGGGAGAGGGCCGAGCGCGGCGGCGGCAAGGCAGCGCGGTCGCGACCATGCAGCATTCCGAGCTCCTTGGGCGGTAGCTCGGGGGCGACAATCGTGGTGCCTTCGTTGCTGTCGACGTAGGTGACCTGCAGCATCGTCTGCTCAATCGATCTGGCGCCGTGGCCTGAGCCCTCTTCTAGGTCGACGGTGACGGCCTGGTCATCTCGCACGGGGGCGGCCTTCGGGGCCGCAACGGAATGGCCGCTGGTCTTTCGCGTGCTCAGGAAGGGCACTTTGAGGGCATTGAGGCTGAAGCGGCGCTTGTTGGGCGGCGGCATCAGCGGCTTGGCAGCCTCGGCGGTGGACGATGAGCGTTTCGGGGGCGACTGGCCGAGGCCCAGGGCGGCTTTACGGATCTTGTGCTTGAGGCCGGCCTGTTCCTGTTCGGCGTCGTCGCCCGACGAGATGAGGACGGCCTGCAGCCTCACTTCGCCGTTGGACGAGGCTGTTCCTGAGCTGCGCTGGGTCTGCGCGAGGAGGGCGGCGTTGGCCGCCTCTTCTGACGAGGTGGCCGCAGGCTGTCGCTGAGGAAACTCGAGGTAGCCGGACGAGGGCGAGTCCGGGACGGTACTCTGGCTCGTGCTGGCGGCCATGGGAGGAGCTGCGAGGAGCATGTTGGAGGAAGGGCAGGCCGATGTTGACCGCGGCAAGGATTTCGGGATGCGGTCCGATCTTGTGATCGTTATCGCGGCTGACGCTGAAAAAGTGGCGGCGCGCGGCAGGTGAGGTGCGGCGGGGTATCGTGAGGGGTATAGGTTCGGCGTGCTGGTATAGTGAAGAGGCTTTGATCGTAGAGCGAGTCGTCGCGCGGAAGGGGGAAGATGGGGTGGGACGGGCGGCTTTGAGCCGAGGCCAGGGACGGTGAGGAGGACCTTCCACGGCGATGGCAGCAGCAGCGAGTTGGTGGAGAAGAGATGGGTTGGGAATAGGCGTCGAAGAAGGTGGACGGACGGAAGGGATCAAAGACGGCGGCAACGACGTTGGGAAGGCGGCAGTGCTGGGTGGGGCAGGCTCGGAGCGTGACTTGGTCCGGTGTTGTGGGCTCTCGAGCTCCCTGTTGCGCTGCGCTGCGTCTGCTGTCGCCGTCGTCGGAGTGTGGCGAGGGGTGGGTCGAGGAAGGAAAGAGGAGAGAGAGGCACCTTGCCCGACCTCGCGCTGGCCGGCTGTCGTTGGGTAAAATGGGGAGGCGAGAGGAGAGGAGAGGAGTCAAAGGGAGGACGACACTACGGAGGGCGGAGAGCAGACGAGCCAACTGCTGCGCCCAGCAGGCGGGCAGACAGGCTGGCAGGCTGGCAGACACCAGCAGCTAGGTGTTGGTCTCTCGGCAACCCTGGCCTGGCCTGGCCTGGCCTGCCTGCCTGCCCGCCTGTACCTGCCTCGGCCTCAGGGGCTTGCTTGAACCTCGGCTGCACCTTGGACGCACCTGCATCCCGATTCATCTTCCGCGTCAGGGTCGTCGATGAATCGCCCCGATGTAGAGCTTGACGAGGCCGGCACCCCGATTGCCCGTGCTCGCACAGTGGTCGCACGGGGTCCTGCCCGTCGCCTGCCTGCCCCGCCTGCCGCTTTCAACGGTGTTGGCTGCAGAGTGACGTGCATGCAGCGGATGAAATCATCTCGCGCGCGCTCAGATGGCGACAGCGGCTGGGGCACCGCCTCGACTACTCGCCTCGCCTCGCCAGCAGCTGCTGCTGGTTCTTGCTTCGCCTCGCCTGTCTGGCGGCCGTCGCCTCTGATGCCATCCCCCCCCAACCGAAACCGGCAGTCCAGCAGGCCAGGGTCTGCCAGACTGCCGCCACCTTGGTTTGTTGGGTCGTGCCTGTCCGCTGCCTGCAATCCCCTCTGGCGAAGAAGGTATAAAGAAGGCCTCACCTCGACGTCGCCACCTTCTTTGCCTTCTTCCTTCCATCACTCACTGCATCCGCACCAACATCGTCTCCATCGCATCCACCCCCTATCGCAATCCCTATCCCTTTTTCAGCTCCATCCCACATCGCCCGCCCACCATGTCGCAGATCCCCGGAACCAACACCACCACCGCCGACGTCCAGAAGGACGCTCAGAAGCTCGGCCAGGACCTCTCCAACAAGGCTTCCCAGGCCGCCAACGATGCCTCCAACACCGCTTCCCAGGTCGCCAACGATGCCTCCAAGTCGGCCCAGGGCGCCGCGCAGCAGGCTCGCGAGGGCGGCGAGACCCTGATCCAGCAGGCCACCGAGCTCGCTAGCAGTGAGTGGGACTCCTCGGAGCTTTGCCGTTCTGTCCCTTCCAGGTCGTTCGACACGCTCCCGCAGCCCTGCTGACATCCTTGAAACCTTTTCCTCGCTACTTCGCTCTCTGTGCTACCCAGACACCATCGCCTACGTCCAGCAGCAGGCCGGCGCGCTCCTCGGCCAGGGCCAGACGCACGCCGAGAACGCTTCTGACAAGACCAAGGCGGCTGCCAACGACGCCGCCGACCAGGCCAAGAAAACGACCGACTCGGCTGCCAAGCAGGGCGAGCACGACGCCCAGAAGGCGCAGCAGTCGCTCGCCGAGCTCACCAACCAGGCGCGCGACCTCGCCGGCAACGCCCTCGACTCGGCCAACCAGTACATCAAGCCCGCCGAGGACAACGCCGGCGGCCTCGTCAACCAGGCGCGCAACACGGCCGCCAACCTCGTCGACAACGCCGCCCAGCTCATCGCCGCGGGCCAGCAAAAGGCCGGCGAGGTGGCCGACCAGGCTGCCGCCCACGCCGGCAACGCCCAGAACGAGGCCAGCAAGCAGTTCCAGCAGGGTTCCGCCACCGCCCAGCAGGCCGGCAAGGACGCCCAGCAGGCCGCCTCCAACGCCGCCGCCCAGGCAAAGGGCACCGTCGAGGGCCTCACCAAGTAGAGCGCCTGCACGCGCCCTTACTCGTCACGGACACTCTCCTCCGGTCCCGCCGAATCCTTCCCCCTTTAGGCCCCCGTGCACGCATGGCAGATTGGCATGTCTGACGAGGTGTCGTCCCTCCTCGCCAGCCCATGTCGGTATACCCCTATCCGCGCCCGCTCTATGCAATTCCATGTGGTACAAGCCATCACAACCACGCCAACAAACGCCGGCTGTCCCGCAGCCATGACCCGCCCGTATCATCGCAGATTGAGGCCGTCGCAGTAGTGTTCGCTAGGTAAAGAGCATCGTGGCGCCTTGTTGCTGGTCTTTCAGTAGCCTCCTGCGACTGGCCGTCGTTGTGATAGAAAGCACCGCCTCTTGAGCAGAGCCGGGATGAAACGCTAGAGCTAGTGCCCTGGGGGACGGTAGACCATCGGGTTCAGTCGCATCGACAGCTGGTCGATCGTCCGCGCCCCGTCCTCTGACCCGTCGCCGTACTTGTCGTGCAGGTAGCTGGATTGCTGCGGAGTGAGGAACCCGACGGGTCCGTGTCGCTCGACCATGGCTGTATCCCCGAACCCGAAGCGGCGGTAGAACGGCATCGCAGGCGTGGTGGCGTCGAGGTACCACGGCAGACGGCCCCGCTCGTTTTGCCTCTCCTCGGAAATCGACATGGGAAGACGCGGCACATCGCTGCCGGGCTCGCTGAGCGCCGTCGCCCCAAGCACCGTGCCCTCGTGCTGCTCGACGGCCGGTACGCGCGGGTAGTAGCCTCGGTCGCCACCGACCTCGCCGCAGGCCGAGTACATGAGCCACTCGAGCACCGTCTTGCCGACGCCCTGACTGCGGCAGTCGGGTCGGAAGCAGAAGAGGCGGAGCGAGTAGTGCGGTGCCTCGCCCATCTCGTCGAGACGGTAGGCTGCCATCCTGGCCTTGATGGCGTCGAAGCCCGCCGCGTTGCCGCACGGGAACGGGTCGCGCGTCAGCTGCTGCTTGGCACGGTCCCACGTCGCTCGCACCTCGTCGCGCGACAGGTGCGAGTAGCGAGCGTCGACGTCCTGAGACGCTGCATGTTGCTCTGGCAGCTCGTACGTGACGAGGCCGATGATGTGAGGCTGCACCTCGCCGGCGTCCTGATATGTGTCGGCCGCCGGAAGCTGGTCGAGCCGAATGACGCTGATGGTCCTGACGCCCTGCGCAAGCGCTTCCTCTTCCAGCAGCGCTCGGATGCGACAGCGCTGGTAGACAATCCACTGGTCGAAGATCGGCGCTGGGACGGGTTCGTCGAGCGGCACTTCTGTGAAGAGCGGCCGGATCTGTTCGAAGAAGGCAGTCTGCATGATCTGCATCTGGGATTCGACATCGTTCGGGCCGAGTCGGCGCAGCAAGAGCGGGACAATCGGAGAGGAAGCTGCGCTTGCGTCGTCCTGTATTCGGCGGAGGAAAGCGTCGCGCTCGGCATCGAAGAGCCGGTAGTCGACGTGCGGGATGCCGGACCAAGTCGTCTGACGCACGGGACGAAAGCCGAGCCGCTCTGCCAGAGTACGCGATGGCCGATTGTCGGGCGGCGTCATGATGGCGAGCTGATGGTCCGGCCAGCTGCGCAGCGCGTTGAGTATGACAAGCCGGACGGCATGGTAGGCGATCCCCTGGCCGGCGACGAGTGGCGAGAAGCGGTAGTAGATGTTGAGGATCCTCTCCTTGCCGTCGCGAACGTGGCGGAGCGATGTGTCGGCGATCAAAGGCGAAGATTGAGGGACAAACTGATTGGGCAGGTCAAAGAAGCGGACGCCGGTGAAGCCCACGATTCGCTCGGTGTATAGATCTGATTGGCTTTTTGCTGCGGCGGCGAGTGGGCCTCGTTGGACGACTGCCATGTAGCCCGTGCCCCGTTGGTGCCAGTCGTGTAGCCAACCGGCGAGGCGGTCCTTCGCGCCTTTCCAGGAGTCGGGCCCGTTTGGGTTGAAGCGATGGACGCGAGGGTCGCTGTGGATGTCCCACACGGCCTGGAGGTCGGAGCGGCGAGGAGGGCGGAGGTAGATGTGGTGAGCGTCGTCGTTGCCGCCATTGCTTGCTCGCGGCCACCGGGACCACAGTAGACGGATAGCGCTGAGTCCAGGGGAGAGGTCGGGCGGTAGATCCTCGAGGTCGGCTAGTGTTGCCGCCGACGTGGCTGCGTCGGTCACAGTCATGGCGGCTGACCAGGACCACTACTGAGAGGAGACAAACACGACGAGGGATTGGAGGGGAGGAGGCAAAGAGGGCTGCAAATGGCGCAAAGAGGAGCCGAAGGGAACGGCGGCATCGTCCGTGCGAGGCTGAGTCGAGGCCCTTTTTGGCGTGGCCGTGGCTGCCTGCCCGCCTGCCTGTCTGCCCGCCTGCCTGCTTCTCGGCGACCGTTGCCCGGCCAGGCCAAGCCTCCACATGTTCGAGAAGGCGGAACCCGGGCGAGGCAGGCCGTGACTTCTTCTTGCGACCTGCCCGCCCTCCTCTCTCTCTCTCTCTCTCTCTCTCTTCTCCTTCAACCGATCTCTCCCCCTCCCTCTCTCTCCCTCTTTGTCTCCGCCTCTCTCGCTCCCTCTCTTTCTCGTGTGCCCCTCGCGCTCTTCACCTCATTGGCCCTGTCACGGTCTCGACCCGACGCGATGGCGCACTCCTACGCCTTCCAGCAGCCTCTGCGACCCTCGGACTCGCCCTCGTCGTTTCCCATCGACCATGCCCTCCTCAACCCGCGCTTCGAGTCGTACAGGCTCGTCGATGACGGCACCAACGGCGGCTCAGCACCCGTATCAGTCGAGCCTCTACCACTGCCAAGCACTCCGCTGAGCCTACGACAGTCGTCCGACGGCAGGATGCTCGGATACAAGCAGGCAAAGGAACGCGCGCTCCACAGCTTCCTCGTCCCCGCTCGCCTCTCGAGTCCCGCCGACCCCGCCCGCCGTCAAGAGCCCGTCGCAGGCTACATCGACGTCAACGGATTCGTCATCCTCCTCTGCCTCACCGCACCCGCTACGGGGAAGGCTGGCGGCGAGGGCAGGACCAAGCTCGTAGGCCACCCGGTCCACCGCATCGAACTCGATCCTCAACGAGGCGCTCTGGGCCAACCCAGCTCGCTTCCCTCCATGCTCTCCCTCTCTCCAACCAGATGGATCGTCTCCGATGGCAGTGGAATGCTGTTCGATGTCAGGATCGAGCCCACAGAACAGCCGGGGGGACAAGTGCGATGGGCAAGCAAGACGACATCGACCTTGACCATCAAGTCCGACGACGACGACGTCCCCATCCCCTTCGGCCTCATCACCGCCGAAGCTGATGGCGATGGCATCCGTGTGCTGACTCAAAGCTGCCGTAGGGAGGTCCAGCCCGCCTCTACGCCGGCCACGCAACGAGGCGGCCTAGGATTCGCATCGGCCTCGGCGCCGGGCTCGTCAGCCACGCCATCCGGATCCTCATCCAAGACCGTGTTTGACGTCCGGTGCATCCTCCTCGACGGCGGCTCCGACCAGGATGAGGCTGCTGTATGTCCGAAGGCAAAAATTCTCTGGACAGTCGCAGGCCAGGAACCACTGCTCTATGCCCGCCTCGACCCACACGGCGGCCAGCACCTCTTGGGGTCCGAAGCAGGCTATGCCCCTCTGCGTCACCCTGCTCGCAGTCCGGCCTCTGCGGCGGCGCCAGAAGCAACGACACGCATCGCGACGGATCAGCTACCGGAAGGCGCTCAGAGCGGCCCGGAGGCCATGCAATCTCATAAGATCGCCTTCCGCCCCCGCATGCCCCCGCACTACTCTTGGGCCCAGACGACCGACACGCTGACGGTCGCCTTCAGTCTCCCTGCCGACATCGCCAAGGCCGACATCCGAGTGCACTTCTCGCTTAAAGGCATCAGCCTCTCTCTTGCCGATGACCAGCCTCGCATCGTCGAGCTCAGCGTCAAAGAGTCTGAGCCGCCCGCAGGTGCCACGCAAGCGGACGACAAGGTCACCGACGATCCGCTCCAGCACGCCGCCGACCTCATCCGCAGCGGACGCTACCTGTCCCGTGCACTCTGGGGCGACATCGACCCTACGGGCAGCGTCTGGACATGGGAGCGTGTCATCGGCCACGCGGGCGTGCTCAAGGGCAACCCGATGGGGGTGCTGACGCTCCATCTCGAGAAAAAGCACGAGGGCACACGCTGGACCCAGGTCTTTGCCGACCGACGCCAGCCGCGGCCTAAAGCGGGCGGGATCGCGACAGGCCGATCGGAATGGGAGCATGTCTCGAAAAAGACCAAGCTGAGCTTCCGCGAGGCGCGCGAGAGGGCGGCCAAGGTGGCACGGGGCGAGACCGACGAGGTCGGCGAGGTGCAGGCGGAGGGTATGGACGAGGACGAGATGGAAGAGGAGGAGCAGGTCGTCGAACACGAAGCACTGCGCGAGCGCAACGACGAGAAGCGAGAGATCGAGCAAGAGGACGACGACGAGGACGATGAAGACGACGTGCCAGAGACGCTCGATCCCTCGGAGCTCATCAACATGCTGGAAGGGATGGAAAAGTACACGACCGACGAGGACCAGCTGGAGGTCGGTGGAGCCGGACCGGGTATCGACAGGACGCAACTCGCCGACCAACCCAGCCTGCTGAGGGACGGCCTCGAGGAGGAAGATGACAACGTCGGGCGCGCCCTCGTGCTCAGCTGGATCATCGAGGATCATCACGACACCCCGCACGGCGACCCCGTGGACATCCGGGTCGACCGTCTGGACAGAGATGCACAGGAGAAGCGCATGCTCCTCGCACTGCCCATGCCGACAGCCGAGGCGGTTGGATCCGCTGCGCCCGAGGCGATCGCAGTCAAGAACGATCTCGACGGCGCAGTCTTTGCCCCTCCCCCCGCCAGCAAAGGCCCCGCTCCGTGGCAGCACGTTGACACGCTGCCGGCCCTCGCATTCGTGCTGGCATCGAAGAGGGACGCCCACCGCGTCTTTGTCCGCCACGATCGCGTTGGCCGGTCAAGGGCCCTCGGCGGGCACCTCTATTGTTCTGCGGCACTGGCCTTTGAGAGCGCGCCCCAGATCGGTCTCGATGCAGCCGCCGCAGCGGGCCACGAGGTGGTGGGCGATGCGGGCAACCTGTTCGTCTACTACTCGTCGACGCCGGCCGAGGGCGCGGAGAGGAAGCACGGCAAGTCGAGGGTGATCCGCCTCGGCGGTGGACAGCAAGCTTCGGGAGCGCTCCTCGGCGTCGTGGCGGTGCCGACCATCGGTGGCGAAGGGGATCAGGGCCAGGGCGAGGATATCCTGTGCCTCTGCGAGAGGAGCCTGCTCGTCGTCCGCAACGTGCTCTGACGAGCGCTCGACGACACACACCATCGGGTGCGGATCGGGGGGCGTGCTGCTGAGCGCTAATCTCGATCGCATCGTCCGTTCGGCCTTGCGCGCCCGCCAAGGTCCGTCTGCGACAGTGCCAGGCCCTGCTGGCCTGCGGCGGCCGACCGTCGGCCCGAGGTTTTCGGCCCTGGCCACGCCTGCAGGGTGTCGGCGCGCCGTCGGCCGCCCCACGAGGATCCCTGTCACTCTTGCGCGAAGCCCTAGCCTGCTTGTCGTGCTCGTCGTCGCCGTCGTCGTCGTCCGTCGCTGGTTCAGCCAGGCATCGTGCGGTTCATCCGACCGCTGAGCGCCGAGCTCTGGACATGCCTTCGGCCGATGAGGGCCTCCTCTCCTGTACCTGCCCTACCCACGCCGTCCCTGTGCCACACGATGAAAATTCAGCCTGGCTACCGGTAGCTTCGACGCTCGCTCACCAGCTGGCCAGCCCAGTCCAGTCGACGGCGTAACCTCCAAGCTAGGTTGGTGGCAGAAGGAAGCAGGCCCGTTGGCCGGTCCGATGTGTGTCCCGGAAGCCGCGCCTGGATTGAAAATTTTGTATCCCTCGGGCGTCCCGGCGGAATACAAGAGCCCAAAGTGGGAGGTGGAGAGCGGGTGCAACGTGAATAACAAAAGAGGCAGGCACGCTGGCTGGGGCTGGAGCAATTGCCGGAGCTAAGGGCGAGGCAGGCCGACGTCAGAAGCAGGCAGGCAGGCAGGCAGGCAGGCAGGCCTGGCGCGAGCGTAAGTGTACGTACGCGGGGGCTGGCAGGCCACCCACCGACCGACCGTCGCTGGTTGTCTAGGCTAGGCCGGCCCTGTCTGCTGGCCCAACAACCACCAAGGGAACATGGCCGTCGACGGCGAGGCCTGGCTGGCTGGCTGCCCGCCCGCCCTTTGCCAAGCCCCACGCCGCTCTGGCTTCGGTCTTGGGCAGCCAAATTGCCGTGTGCCGCCGCCAGAACCGGCTGCACAGAGGCCCAGGCCAGCAGCGTCCACCCACCTTGCCCTGAGCCGGGCCTGCTTGCCCGCCGGCCGTAACTAGCCTGCATCGTATCGTGCCTGCCTGTCTGTCCGCGCGGCCCGCCAGAGAGGAAGAGAGAGGGAGGGGTTGAACCGGATGGATCCCTGTCCTGTCTTCGCTGACCATCGTCGCCTCCGGCTCCCGTACCACCAACACCACCGCCGCCGCCACCACCATCATCACCGTACCACCATCACCACCACCACCACTGCCACCTCTGCCCTCGCCACTCTTCACACTGCATCATCGAGTCTCCCTTCAAGGCGACGCAGTCGAAACCTTCCCAGGACTTTTCCCCCCGGTCGCTCCTGGAAGCCGAGCGGCTCCCTCAATCCACCCAGGCTCGCGCCGTCGCCCCTGGCTCCGCAAGGTCTGCCATCGCTCACTCGAACATCGACCGTGCTTCAGCATCCCACACTGCATAGAACACCGCAGCCGACCCGCTCATTGGATGCGTCCAAACGCCTCCGTCCCATCTCCCAACCGTGGAACCGCACTCTTACCCTCATCGTCGCCGAGCAGATAGCTACTGCGCGGCAGCACAACGTCCAGGTCAAGGCCCATAGCGCATCCGCCGACCTCTGAGCTCGTCACCCCTAAAGGTCAAGGTCGTCCGCGGCTGACCCTCCTCTCGATTTCCGGGCGTATCGGACTCGAATCCGCCACGCCTACCAGTGGATCGGCCCTCGCCTTTCTGTCTGTCACTCGAGTCGCCATACGAACCGGGCGTACTGTCAGGCTTCGGGCATTCCTCCCGTTGCATCTCCTCCACGCCCCGAGAGACGCCATAGATCCAAGTCGCTTCGACAGCCTCGACGCCCCCTTAGCTCCAGGCAGATTCCATGTTGTCTTCCAAGCCCATGGAGCCAATCTCGGTCCGGGAGGCGCCCGAAGAAGAGCGAGCTCCCGACGGCTCCTCGATCGTCCACATCACGACGGCGACGGGCAGCATGAAGCTGCAAGAGAACCAGGACGCCCCGGGCTACACCGCCCTCTCTCCCCATCTTAGCAAGTCCGACCACGCCGTGGGGTCCGCGGCTGCTCCCGCACTCAACAACGGCTCCCCCCAACCCACCGAGCATGCCGAGAACCCGCTGCAGCCGGCCATCACCGCGGGCCCCGTCGACACGTTTGTTGGCCCCAGCGCGGCTGCCAATCGCGTTCGCTCTGAAAACCTCAAGCAAGCCGGCCTGAGCGTGCAGGCCGATGCAGCCAACGTCGTCGCGCCCATTGGCACCGGCGGTGATCCGCTGCTCGACCACCCGCCCGCGGTAGGCGACTCGCGCTCGCACCCTGTTTCGCCGATGCAGTCCGCTGCGACCCCCCGCTCGTCGCTCAGCCGCGCGCTGAGCGGCACCCAGCAGAGCAAGCGCCCCTCGACGGCGCAAGGCCCTGGGGCCAGCGGCCTCGCCAGCGCCCGCGGCGTTGACTCGGTCCATGCCCAGGATGCCAGTGCCTCGGCAGCTGGCGGCGCGACGCCCCCGCAGTTCATCTTCCCCAAACTAGGGTCGCGCCGGCCCGCAGAGACGCGAACCTCGTCCTCTAACAAGAAGAACCTGCACTCGCCCATCGACGGTCGTTCCGGCACCAACTCGCCCGACGACCATGGCGACCACCCCGGCAGCGGTCGCTCCAAGAAGAAGGACGGCACGGGCCACCACGGTCCGCTGCACGACCTGCGCAAGTTCCTGCACAACCATATCGGCCACCACAGCGGCGAATCGTCGCGCGGCGACAGCGGGCGCTCTGGCATCGCCACGCCCCGGCGGCACGGCCGCGACTCGCCGCCGCTGGGCGAGGACCATGCGCACCTCGCAAAGAAGTACGGCAAGTGGGGCAAGACGCTCGGCTCGGGCGCCGGCGGAACGGTGCGCCTCATCAAGCGATCCAAGGACCACACCACCTTTGCCGTCAAGGAGTTCCGGCCGCGGCGGGCGGGCGAAAACGAGAAGGAGTACATCAAGAAGGTGACGGCCGAGTTCTGCATCGGCAGCACCCTGCACCACATCAACATCATCGACACGGTCGACATCATCAGCGACCACGGCCACTACTACCAGGTCATGGAGTACGCCCCGCACGACCTCTTCAACGTCGTCATGAGCGGCAAAATGTGCCGGCAGGAGATCTACTGCATCTTCCGGCAGATCATCGACGGCGTCGACTACCTGCACTCGCTCGGACTGGCCCACCGCGATCTCAAGCTCGACAACTGTGTCATGACGACGGGCAACATTGTCAAGCTGATCGACTTTGGAACCGCCACCGTCTTCCACTCGCCCGGCAAGAGCAAAGTGGTGGCGACGGGCGTCGTGGGCTCCGACCCGTATCTGGCGCCGGAGGTGCTGTCGCAGCAGACCTACGACCCGCGTCTGACGGACGTGTGGAGCTGCGCCATCATCTTCCTGTGCATGATCCTCCGCCGCTTCCCCTGGAAGCTCCCAGACGTCAAGAGCGACCCCAGCTTCCGGCTCTACGTCAATTCGCATCCGGAGCTCTGCGCGCCGCCCGAGCCGCAGTTTGCCTCCCGCTCCAGCACCATGGACAGCGGCCGCGATAGCGCCGCCGCCAGCACGCTGGCCTCGACGCCGGCCTCGAGCGTGCCGTCGACGCGCGTCACGTCGGCCGAGCTCGGGGCGCTGCGCAAGACGCTGGGCGTCACCGCCATCGACGACGGCGCGAACCCCGAGGACACGGTGCAGATCCGCACCGCCAAGGAGGCCGGATACACGACGCCGCACGGCATCCACTCGCACCCGCACTCGCCTTCGATGAGCGACCACGAGGACGACGCGCCGCACCATGCCAGCGGGCATCAAAACAGCATGCTGTCGCAGTCGAGCGAAGGCAGCGGCAGCGGCAGCGCCGGCGGGATCGGCAGCGGCAACGGTGGCATGGCGTCTCCGCTGCCAATGTCGCCCGCCACGTCCGGCCCGGCGACGCCGTCCGACGAGACCGTCGGGCCAGACGGCCGATCGCGGATGACGCGGAGCGACAGCGTGTCGTCGGCCTCGTCGCAGACGACGTACACGTCGGGCGCAGCCGACAGCATCTTCAGGCTGCTGCCGCGCGAAACCCGCTCGGCTCTCTCGCGGATGATGGCCGTGGAGCCGTCGATGCGGTGCACGCTGGGCGAGCTGCTGCGGGGCCGGCGGTTCAGCGACCAGGACAGCCCGCTCACGCGGACGCCCGTCATGTCGCGCTCGAACAGCACCGACATGCTGCGCTCTGCGCTCGACGGTGCGCACCACGAGGCCGGCGGCCACCACCGCGGCAACATCAGCACCGACGCGCACGCCGCGGGCCTCGGCTCGATTGGGCTGAGCGAGTTTGAGGACGACGACGATAAGGGCGACGAGTGGCTCAAGGGCATCCGGACGTGCGCCCACGTTATGCGCGATGGCAAGCCCGGCGAGACGCCCGACCATCCGCACGTCAAGGTCGCGGTCGAGGAGCAGAAGCGCAAGCACAGCCTCTTCCACCGCAAGGACTGATCGTGTCGCGCGGCGTGTGGATCTGTGATCTTGAGGAAGGTCTCGACTGCCGCCCAACCCTTGCCGGTCTTTCTCCCCATGATCCCGTGGTCCCAGCTGCTGGTGCTCGTGCTCGAGCTTGCCAGCTGTATTCCCAGAGCGTCGTGCCGCGGCTTCTCGGATGATCCCGTCGTTTCCCCCTCCTCGATCCCGTCTCTTGCTCGACTCGACTATCTCTGTACCTGGAATTGCTCATCCTGCCGCTTACCTGCTCGTTCCAGTCGCGGTGGCGGCGCTTTTGTGACGTCAGCCTGATCACTGCGGGTCAAATCGATGGGCGACGGTGTACGGAGGCACCGAGGTCCCGCCAGTTGGGGCATGAGGCAAGCGGCGACTTGCGTCGTCGGCTCTCGAGCACAGTCCGGGCCATTGGCGTGCGGCGGCAACCCTCGTTGCACTGGTCATGCTGGATTGACGACGAAAGTGAAGCGGGACACGTGCAGGATGGAAGGGACAGGGGCGCGGCGGCGACGCGGCCGGAGAAAGGATCAGATGCCGTCGGGTTTTGCGCATTTGCGCTTTTCGACGACGCCCGTGATGGGATCGACCAGTTCCTGCCAGCTAATGGGCTGCATCGGGTTGCCCGTCACTTCCCACCCAGGCCCGCTCGCCGCCGCCGCCCCCGCCCCGGGCGTCCCTGCGAGCGAGGATGAGGAAGAGGTGGCGTAGATGACGCCGAGGTTGTTGGCGGCCGTCGAGAGGTAGTAGGACCTCGCATCTCCCAGCGAGATCTGTACGGTCACAGGGGGTGAGCTCGAGCGTTAGCGGCGCCGGGGACTGGGGGAGGGGACGCGAGGGTGCTCACCACGCTGGCTCTGACGATGTCGCCGGGTCGGAAGCAGTCGCCCAGACGGACCTTGTCCTTTTCCGTGTTGCGGACATCCTGCGATCGCACTACACCCTGGAAGTCGGTACCCTCTCCCTCTCCGGCCGCATGGTTGCCCCTCCCTGTGGCGATCGAGGCGGATGAGGTCGAGGATGAGGAGCCGCACGGCTGGCCATCGACGATGAGGATCGAGAGGTGGGCCTGGCGCGGTGTCACTCGTGTGACGCGGGCGATGACCTGATGAGACGGCAGAGGCGGAGACGCGGGGGGGAAGAGCATCGGGCGGGTGAGTCGTCATCGGAGGCGGGACAAGGGGGTCCTCTAAGGGTCGCGGAGGGGGGGGGGGGGGGGGGCGTAGTGGAGCGACTCACGATGCTGTCTGGTCTCGGCACGACGAAACTGTTCTCTGCGCCATGGACCGAGAGCGTGGCGGCCTGAACGGCAGGAGCTGCTGCGCCTTTTGCCTTTCCCTTGAGGAGCGACGAGGATGGTGCTGCTGGTACGGTGCGCTGCTCGTAGCCGACGAGCGACGAGAGGATGTGGTCGCCGCGGGTATAAGTGCCCGGTCCGAGCTGGGGCGAGGGCGTGGTGGTCTTTGAAACCGAGAGCGGCTGTCCCGGCAGCAGCAGCGCTTGTGATGTCGTCGTGGATGATGAGGCCATGATCGAAAGGGGGCGATGGGGTGCGGTGAGAGCGTGGGTGGCGGTGAGGATGGGCGTTGACGGGGATCGGTGACCGGGAGTGAGGAGTGGTGGTGGTCGAGGTGGGTGAGGGCATGCAAAGGCGGCGGCCGCCTCTCTGTGGAGGAGGGTCCTCGAGCCCAAGCTGCAATGGGGCAATACCGTACCCGGCTGGACCGTTTGTATTGCGCTTTGACCTGGCCACTAGACTTTTTTTCATGGCGCCGAGCCCCCACCCCCCCTCCCGCTAAGAAGAAATTTTTGGAAAAAGAGGGCGTCGCTGGCCTCGACGTGGGCCACAGTCTAGGAGTCGTTGCTTGCCAGCTTGCCTGCTTGCTTGCTACCCTCGCTCACCATCGTTGCTGCGCCGCTGCCATCCTTTGATCCCGATCCCCATCTCTCTAGCACACGACACCCCTCCATCTTCGTATACGAGGGCAACACAGCAACCTCGAAGCGGCGCACACTCGCACCGCTCTCCGCTTCTTTTCCCTCTTTCCCCGTCCCTCTCCCCCTCACTCTCCCACGACCCATCGCGATGCCGCCAAAGAAGACAAAGGCCAAGTCGGCCTTCCGGTCCGACAAGGCGCAGCACTTCCAGGTCGTACACCGCTCCCAGCGCGACCCGCTCATCAACGACCCGGATGCCGGCCAGCACGTCCTCAAGGCCGTCAACGCCCCAAACTCCAAGGGCAAGACGCGCGCCCAGCTCGAGCAGGACGAGCGCATCCTCTACGGCAACGACGGCAAGCCCCTCCGCACCAACGTCGGCGAGGCCGCCCTCTACGGCGTATACTATGACGACACCGAGTACGACTACATGCAGCACCTCCGACCCATCAGGGACTCGGAAAACAGCAGGAGGGGCGGCGTCGACGAGCAGGACGACACAGAGGCCATCCTCATCGCCGCAGCGCCAAAGAAGGCGCCGCGCCAAAAGGGCGACGGCTTCGCCCTCAAGGAAGGAGAAGACGGCGCAGCGCCGGGTCCTTCGTCTCGGCCAAGAGGCGAGCCGCAGCTCAGCCTCCCCGCCTCGGCCTTTGCGTCAAAGGAGGAGAGGCCCTTCTCCTACACGTCGCACCTCAATGTCGAGCCATCGCTGCAGGGATTTCAGCCCGACATGGACCCGCATCTCCGGCAGGCGCTCGAGGCGCTCGACGACGAGGCCTTTGTCGACGGAGACCTCGAGGACGACTTCTTCGCCGACATCGCCAAGGGCGGCGAGTGGGACGGCGAGGTCGACGCCCAGGCCGACGCGTGGCGCGAGCTGCCACCAGAGGGCGACGAGTCCATCTGGATGGACCCGGCGCAGCGGGCACAGCAGCAGCTCGAGGACGAGGGCAAGGAGTCGCTCAGCCTCGAGGCCAGAGTGGCGCTGTTCAAAAAGGCGCAGGAGATGGAGCGTGCCCTGGCAGCGCAGCAGTCTGGCGCCAAGGCCAAGACGCGGGCCGGCAATGCCGGGTCAGACGACGAGGCCGGCGACGACGGCGAGGACCGGGATCAGCTGCGCAGCCTCCCGCCAGCGTCGCGAGCGGGCACCGCCTACACGGCCGGCGGCTCCGTCCTTGGCAAGAAGGGCAAGCCGGGGGCCATGGCGAGGAGGGCGGCGAGCACCCGGGCCGGCAGCGTCGGCGGGGGCAGCACGGCGTGGAGCATGACGAGCTCGTCGATGTCGCGGAACAAGGGTCTGACCGACCTCGATGACCGCTTCGACAAGGTCGGCCGCCTCTACGGCATCCGCGAGGACTTTGACCCGTCGCTTGACAACCTCTCGGCCATGGGGCCCGACGAGTTCGAGGATGAGGACGACGACGATGACGAGGGCGAGGGAGAGGAGGGGGAGGAGGTGTCGCGCGAGGACTTTGAGAACATCATGGACGACTTCCTGGACCGGTACGAGGTCATCGCGGGCCGCCTCAAGGAGAACCTGGGCGCCAAGGATGCCACGGGCGCCGAGAAGCTCGACCTGCTGCGTAAGGCCCTCGGCGCGGCGAGGATCGACGGCAAGGACTGGGAGGGGCGGGACAAGGACGTGGGCAAGGGCACCGAAGAGTCGCTGGGGGCCTACGACGACTACGACAGCGGCGACGACGACGACGGCCAGCTCGACCTCGACAACCACCCGGCGCTGATGCCGCGGAGCGCGCAGCGGGAAAAGTGGGACGTCGAGACGGTGCTGACGACCAAGACCAACCTGGAGAACCACCCGCGCACCATCTCTGCGCGCGAGAGCGTCGTGGGCACCGGCCGCAACTCGGCGCTGCCCAAGAAGATTGCCAACGGCGGCTCGGGCCGGCCGTTGGGCAGCGGGGCCACGTTGACGTCGTCGTACAGCCAGCGACCCAACGCGGCGGCCTTTCTCGACGACGACGAGCGGTTGCCAAAGATCCGAGTCAACCCGCGCACGGGCTTCCCCGAGATTGTCGGCTACTCGAAGCCGCGCAACAGCAAGACCAAGGCCAAGGCCAAGGCAGAGGCAGATGCAGAGGCAGGGGCCGGTGAGGCGGCGGCGGTGGCGGCGGCCGCCGACGACGATGTCAAGGCGGACGGACCGGACAGCGGAGACGACACTGCGGGCGAACAGGAGGGCGATGACGACGACGACGACGGCTTCGACAGCGACGCGACCGAGGGTGCGGGCGGCCATTACGGCGGCGGGGTGACGGTGGCGCGGGACCGGCACGAGACCAAGGAGGAGAAGAAGGCGCGCAAGGCGGCGGTCAAGGCGGCCAAGCAGTCGAGGCGGACGCAAAAGTCGCAGACGAAAAAGGTGTTTGCCCACGAGCGCAAGCTGCAGGCCAGGGCCGAGAGCGGCAGAAAGGCGGCCGAGGGCGGGCCCAGCGGCATGCGCCTGGTCTGACGGAAGGAGCGCGGTCGAGGAGCAGGGCAAGGGATCAATCGAGTCTTCTGCTATACCAATCCCCAAGAGCGTAGAGCTTCCGTCGTTGGGCTGCGTCCATCGGTGTGAACGATGTGGGCCTGGCAGAGCGAGTGGGTGCGAGAGAGCGTGTATCGCGGAGGCCAGAGAGAGAGGG